TGCTAGACATATCATTCATTTGATACTATCTGGGGTTTGTATTCACTGTTTTAGACCTTGCTAGACGTATCATTCATTTGATACTGTCTGGGGTCTGTGTCTCCTTTCGTTAGACTAAGCTAGGCGTGTTGTTCATTCGATACTCTCCTGGAGTCTATGATTTCTTTTGCCTTAGTCAGCAGTTTTTCCTGCCGAGGCATACGTTATTTTCCCTAATGTTTTTACTTGTGATATCCTTCTACTTCCTTTAAAATCAAATACCGTATCTTGGTAATGATAATATTTTAGGGAAAATTCTCTTTAAAACATAACATTGTCAGGTCTTGGTAGAAGACTGCTCTTATTTAAGAAAATATAGGATTTTCTGGAAAGGACTCTAATACGTTGTTGATTCTATACTACTACTTGTATAAAGTTATTTGAATAAAATGACACTAAATACTTATGAACTCACCAGCATTTATAAAAATGCTGATACTCGCTTTCAAAATAAATTGTATTATCAGGTCAGCAATAAACAGGTACATCCGAGGAGCTTTTGGTGAAGACAATTTAGTACCAAGCTGCACCTATATTATTACTTGTATTACTTTGATGTTTCCATTAAATGTAAACTATGTAAAACTATTACTATTAATGCAATGGTTGTTGTACTTTGATTAATATAATGCATATGTTGTGATATTTGACATGACGTCATCTGGCCTAGAACGTTTCCGCCGTTCCGGTTTTGGGGTGTGACATCATTGTACAAAAGAGTGTTACACAAAGTGCTCAACAAGAAATTTGGTGTGATTGCACTTGCAAATATGTGAATACTTAACATATTCCAATTAGCATATATATATATATATATATATATATATATATATATATATATATATATATAAAGAGAGAGAGAGAGAGAGAGAGAGAGAGAGAGGTGAACCATCATTAGGCTATGGGGAATGGTCACACCCACCCCACCGGAAAAGTGCTGCCACATGTGCGCCATGTCAGCTTCACACCCAACCCACCACCAATCCACTAAAGACTGGAAATGGTTACCACTCCACAATTTTTTTTTGAACATTATAGTAATTAAAAAGCATAATTTATAACATACATTAATTTTTTAAAACATAAAAAAATAAGAGCGCATTTCATTAATTAAAACATAGAAATTTAAAACTTAAATTAGTAAAATTAAACATTACATTGTCAAAATAATATAAAAATAAAAAACATAAAAAACATAGAAAAATAACATTACATTGTCTAAATAAAATAAAAATTAAAAAACATAGAAAAATTCTAATCGTCGTTGTTGTCGTCACCGGTATCATCCGCCTCGTCGCCATCATCGTCATCCTCCTCATCATCACCATCGTCACCATTGTCATCATCGTCGTCTTCACCGTCATTTTGCCCTTGAAATTGCTGTTCCCATATGTATTCGGTCAAATCATGTCGTAGATTGTGATGTGTTTCATGGTTTTGTATTTCCAAAACCCTTGAGAAGTATGCCGGATTGCCAACTTGTAGTACTGGGGTGGGTTAAGTATATCGTTTGTGGTATATGAGCAAATAGCCGTACCCTCTTCTTCTATTATAATGTTATGTAAAATAACACAAGCAGTCAACACCGTCCTCAATTTTTCTCTGTCCCATGTTCGCGCCGGATGTTTGATTATGTGCCACTTTTGTTTGAAGAACTCCAAACGCCCGTTCTACATCCTTCCTTGCAGATTCTTGTGCTAACTTGAACATTTTCCGTTTATCGTTGGCCGGATATGTGTATGACTTCACAAATGTAGCGTATTCTGGATATATCCCATCACCTAGGTAATACACATATTTGTATTCATTTATATTGACAACATATGGCATTTCTGGTTCTTTGCCCTGTAAAATATCGTTAAATATCAGAGACGCTTGGAGCACATTCAAGTCATTGTTTGACCCGGCCATACCAAAGAATGCATGCCAAACCATAAGTCATTTGAAACCACTGCCTCCAAAATAACAGTCCGCACCCTATGATCACCTCGCATGAACTAGCCACGCCACACATTGGGACAATTTTCCGACTCCCAATGTGTACAATCAATGCTACCAAGCATTCCTGGAAAACCATGTTTCGTTTGATGTGCGACATACAACTGTTCGACATCGCTTTTAGTTGGATGTCGCAAGTATATGTCACGGTAAAGCTCTATGACATACTCACAAAATAAATATGTACACTCTCAACCCGTCCTCTCAGACATTTTCAGATACTCATCTGACG